CCAGTCTCTCCCCTGCCCTCCCCCAGACGGGGCCAGCCTGCCGGACCCAAAATAGCAACAGCAAATAAAGAAATGTCTAGTTTGGGGCTCCTCTCCCTCTCTGCTGGTGCTCATTTTTTCCAACTTTGGTTTAAGTTAAGAAACACCAATGTTTTCTTGGTCTCTGCTTGCTGCCAACATTTTTGTAGAGCTTGCTCAGGAGCTACTGGCAGGGCTCATAAACTCAGTGGGGAAGACTTCGAGAAACAATTCTATATCTTTTTTTTCCCTCTGCTTGGAATCAGGGAAATTTTTCAGTTTGCATTTCCCCAAGGCTGCAGGGCCGAGAGGTCAAAGCCTGGAGCATGTCCCCCAGGCGCCCTCCGCAACCCCACCTCCGCTCCAGCCAGACAGCCTTCCCTGGGTAGCCCCACTCAGATGTGGCCGCTCCTTGACTTCCTGTCCCTTCTCTCCTGCCAGGCGAGGAGCTGGCTCAGGGAAAGATCGCAAGGGGGACGAGCCCTGGGTGGCCTGTGAGCAGGTGGGAGGGGAAGCCCACTGCCTGACACACCTCCCACCCTCTTTCTAGGCAAAACTGCCTCTCATCTGAGGTATCAATTCCCCACGTGCAGACGTCTGCTCATCCCTGACTTGGGGTTGCCCTCCAGGCACGGTGCTCATGGAGCCTCCTCTCCCCCAGGCAGCCAGGGGGCTCCCAAGGAAAAGGGGAGAAGCGGGGAGAGAAGCTAACATTCACTGACCACTGAGCTCCAGCAAGACCCCTGACCTGTGTTACCTAATTCAATTCTCAAAACCTATGAAGCCGGCAGCCTGACCTTCATTTACAGGTGAGAAGACAGCCAGCAGTTCAGAGAGTTCAGGAGATCTGCCTAAGGCCACACAGGAGTCCAGCCAGCCCCGCCACCTGTCCACTCACACTGCGCCTTTGAAACCTGTCCTCTCCACCCACCCCCGGCCAGGACAAGAATGATCGGCCAATATATGAATGAGTTGACCAGCAACCACTCAGAGGTGTGAGGCTGAGGTTAGCCAACAATGACCTGGAAGAGGTGAGGTGGGGTGGGTCCTGGTGCGCTGGGAGGAGACAGGGGCAGGGGAAGGTGAAAGCCAGGCAGTGTATAATGCCAACAGGGCCATATGGAGCCAATAGTAAGTGGTAAGGGGTTCGCCTGCTTCCCAAGGCCACCCCTCCTCTAGCAGGGCAGCCTCAATGACAGCCATCCCAACAGGGACCCTCCCCTTGTGCCAGGGCAGCCATGGCACAGGGAGGAATTTCCCCAAATTATGTCCTGACCACCAGGCCACAGTCCCCAGACCAAAGCAGCCTTGGCTCTATGTCCCCACATTAACCCAGAGAGAGGATGGAGGGTCCCCAGGTACCCACTCACTTCCCTGTCACCCTCGGCTAGTCAGGTCAGTCCCCTGAGGGAAGACGGAGAGGGAGCAAGGACGGGTGTTAGAGGAGGAGAGACACAAAGGGAGCAGGGGGTGGGGTGAGACTGGGGGGCAGGAGACTTGCTCCCGGCTCTCTTGTGGGGCAGAGCCATGGGGACACCTGGTGCCCAGACACCAGCCTTCCCACAGGGAGGAACTTGAACCTCCCTGGGCCATGGCTGCCCTGAGGCCCCAGCTGGAGTGGAAGACATTCAGGCAGGGATGGAGGCAGGTCTGTGTCAGGGGCCTTAGAGCAGCGGTTCTCAACCTGTGGGTTGCAACCCCTTTGGGGGTCGAACGACCCTTTCACAGGAGTCGCCTAAGACCATCGGAAAACACATATATAATTACATATTGTTTTTGTGATTAATCACTATGCTTTAATTATGTTCAATTTGTAACAATGAAATTGGGGGTCACCACAACATGAGGAACTGTATTAAAGGGTCGCGGCATTAGGAAGGTTGAGAACCACTGCCTTAGAGGCTGGAAGGCAAGCACAGCCTCAGGGGCCGGCTCCGCTCTCCCTGCTCACGCTCTGGACCAGGTGCGTGGGGTCTAGGGAACCCTGTGAGAGGGAGGAGAAGGGAGGGAGTTTTACCTAAAGCCCTCGGCCCTTTCCAAGAACAGAGTCCTTGGACTCAGAGGCAGAGAGAGAACCGGAGGGGAAAGGGAAGAGGACAGGGACAGGCCTGGGGCTGAGAAAATGTGGCCGTAACTTGAGGAGAAAGAACCCACTTTCAGGAAGATCGTCTGCAGCTTCCCGCAATTCTTGCCACAGTAGTTGGCGCCCCGCCGGGAGAAGAGGACCTCGTGGACGGGCACCCGCTGGTACGCCACCCGCTTGTCTCCCTGCAGCATCCAGATCACGATGTCGGGCAGGCTGTTCTGGGGCTGAGAGAAGGTGGCCGTCAGGGTGGGGACCGTCACCCGCCTGGGCCCGCACCCCATGAGCTGACCACCCTGGCTCAGGGCCCGCACAGGTCTCTCCCCCGGCCTCCATCCCCAGATGCCCACCCCTGCCCCACCCCGGTGGCGTCCCAGGTTCAGCTGGGCACCTCTGATTTTGGAAGCCAAGAGTCCCCAGGACAGGGGACTGCCCCGGGCTCACAGAGGAGCCAAAAATCGCTGAGCTGAGTTCACATTTTCTGGGAAAAGACACTCCTGCCTGGAGCCCAGAGCTTACGTTCTTAGATTCCCCACGCCCGCCCCACCTCCACACACTGGGTAGATGGATGCTCCCAGCATAGACATACATGGAGGATTCCATCTGACCCGGAAGATGACATTACACCTAAGATGACCGCCTCCTTCCTCACCCCCTTCCTCACCGTCCCCTTCCCCATGCCCAGGAGCAGCAGCAAATCCAGAGCAGGGGCCCTGGGAGCCGACTCTCACTGGGCCTGGGGACAGTGGGCTCTGAGAATGGTGACTAGCTCAGAACAAAACTGCCAGGCCCCTGAGCCCTCGGAGCCTCTGGCTGTGAGGGGAGGTGGCTGGTGGGGTACGGCCCATCTCTACCAAGGTTGGTGAGCCAAGTGCACCGGGAGGAGGCTGGGTCTGCCTCTGACCGGGCCTCAGACTCCTGCGGCACTTGCTCAGCATTTCACAGGCCTTGTTCACGTCCGCCCTGCGACAGCCCAGAAGGCACAGAAAGGCAGCCACGTGCCAGGTGAGGAAATTCAGGCTCCACGAGGCTAGGAGCTGGGTTTTGCTGACTCCAAAAACGTGTTGCTAACCATAATGCCAGGGGTTCTCAAAGTGTGGTCCCTGGAACAGAAATGCAAATTCCCAGGCTCCACCCAGATATGTGAGGTGGGGTGGGGGGACTGTGACCTGTTTTAATAAGCTTTTCAGGGGATTCCGATGCGCACTCAAATCTGAGAAAGATTCTCTCTGGGCTCCCATACAGTTCACAGCACCTGTTTGACCTGAACCTCTCCAAGCCCTGTCGCAACCTGTGCTGAGTTCTGGGGTTGGTCTGGGCCATGATATGGGGAGGTGTGCCTTGACCAGCCCGAGAAGATAGTCCATGGCCACTGGGAGGGGTCGGCCTGGGGCTGAGCAACACACGGTCCCCATGTAGTTGGCCTATGCCTGAGACCCTGCTCGGGAACTGACTCTTGGGGACCCACGTCCCAGGTTGCCTTCCCCTCCTGAGTCTCCCTTCCACTTCCTGGGCCTCCCTCCCCCTTCAACAACTTGCTCCTCCAGAAGCCCCTTGCAGGCCCTGCCCTTCTCTGCTCGCTCCTGGGGGGATCCTTCCGACCATCACCGTCCCCTCCCTGGAGGTCCCACATGGCTCTGGTCAGAGTGGGCAACAGCTGGCCTGCCTCTGATATGAGTGGACCTATGTCCTCATTCTAGACAAATCTGTGTCCTGTCTGGGCACCCGAGGAACCGGGTCAGTGCATCTGCCCTGAAGGGGAGGGGGGTGCGGGGGGCGAAAGGTGCCCCTGAAGACTAACTGGAGCCTCTTCTCTCTGATTAGATATGACGATGCTCAGAGTTACTGCACATGCAGCCTCCTCAGGCCTGGGCTCAGAGGCATCCGCGAGGACAGGAAACCAGGGCGCTGGCAGGGAGAAGGCGTTAGGTCCCGGGAAAGCAGGCCCAGCACTGGACCTAGAGCCAGGCGCCCTGGGTCCTGGTCCCAGCTCTGTCTCTGAAACACCTTGTCAGTATTTCTTATGCACATGTGGGGACATTTATTGAGCCCCTACGACACACCAGGCTCTGTGCTGGGCCCCGCAATATCCAGTTTCCTGTTGCTTGCTCTCTCCTCCTTCCACAAATGGGGACATGGAGGCTCAGAGAGATTAAGTCACTGGCTCAAGGTCACTCAACAATGGAGCCAGGCTTGGATCGTGGTCCAGACAGTCCCAGGTCCCTCCCCATTCTGATGACCCAGACAGGAAGGAAGGTGCCTTGCAGGGTGAGCTACCTCATCGGCCAGAGTCCGGAGACGCAGGAGCCAGTCCTCAGCCTGCTCCAAGATAGCAGAGAGCTCATAGTGGCCAAGCTTCAGGTCCAAGGCTGCCTCGGTGATCTGATTCAGGTGACGGGTACGCAGCTTGTACAGGTACTGGTCCAGGTAGGTGGCAGAGGGCCTCTCTTGGACATTGCTCAGGGGCTGGCTGTGAGGGACAGATGGGATGTACCTGATGAGCAGGAGCCCAGTGCAGACCCAAGTCCAGACACATACATGCATGAACACACATATGAGGACAGGCCCCACAACAAGCATCACACCCTCAGCCCACCTGCTGGGCACCTTCTCCAGCCTGACCCACCTGCACAGTCATCTCTGTGCAACCTGCTCCGCCCTCACCTCCTCCGGGAAGCCTTCCCCAACCACACTGGCCCACAGGCCACTGCTCTGAAGTCCCGGAGGGGACTTGGAGGGGGGGGGTTCCTCCCTGCCCCCTGCATCCTCCCAGAGCAGAGGCCTGAGCGCCAAGTTGCCCTTGGCTGAAACGAATCCATTCTGTTGTACGCACACTTTCTTCAAGAAGGAAATTTATGGATCCCTGACAAGCCACTGCAGACGCTGTGGGGAGGCCGGCAGCCAGCAATACAGATGTGTCGACTTGGGGCAGCCCCACACCCCTCCCAGAACCCTCTGTTTAGGAAGCCTTTAAGTGGGTGGGGGGGGGGGGTGGCAAACAGTCCCAGAAACACAGCCCTAGGTCCCAAGTCGGGGGCTGGATTTAAACTCCATCCTGTTTGGAGGCAAAGAACTCTGACCGCCCCCATCCCACTGGGCTCCCGAATAGTCCTTCCTATGGCTCCTCCTCTGTACCACCCCTCCAAGGTCAGTCAGTACGCGCACGGGGTCCTGCAGGATGCGGTGGGGAGTGGGGAGCTCCCTGACCTCCCTCACCAGCAGGCCCCTCTAGACGATCCCCGCTGGAGCGCATGGGGGGCTGCCCCACCTCTGCTGAGCCCTTGACTCCCAAACAGGACATCAGTCAAACCCGCTCCGCCAGTTCTGCTCCCACCGCTTGCAGCCCCCCCACCTCATACTCCCCTCCCGGCAGCGTCTCGACTCCGGCTCCCGGCTGATTTATTTTTCTGCCAATTTCCCCGAGCTATGCAGAACCAATTACCGCCGGAGCGCAGCGGCACCGCCGCCGCCAGATACACCGCTCTGGCAGGCCCTCGGCGCACTACATTTTTCCTGTTATTTTTTTTAATTGAATTTTTAGGGTGGGGGGAGCAGTATGCAAACTCCATCTCAGGAAACTTAAGCCCCGGGACCTGTCTCAGGTCACGTACTGCACACCCTGTAGTAATATAATATTTACTGCCCCGAGGGTGCCTCGGATGGGGCTGCCCCCGGCCGAGAGAGGGACGGCCGCCATCCCTCCAGCCCCAGCCCGCTGGAACGTGGCGGAGGGGCATGCTCGGTGGGTAAAGGGGGGCCTGGGCCGGAGTCCTGCCTGGGAAGGAGGCCGGAGAGGGCCTGAGGGTGGGGGCAGGCGGGTCTGGAGTGGGATCTGGATTGCTGAGCCAACCGGAGTGATTTATGCTCCCAGCCTGCGTCGGGAGCTGGGAGGGGCTGCCATACAGACCACCAAAGGGAGATTTTCACGGAGGCCACCAGCCCCACCAAGGCTCCCCAAGAAACAGCTGGGACCCGGGACTGCCACTAACATGAGACGCCTCAGACCTTTCCTGCCCCAGAAAAGCCCAAGGCAGAGAGTACGGAAAGCAAGGGAGACCTGGGAGAAGAGTCTAGATGACACTGTACCCCCAACCGGGGCAGCTTGCTGTGGCTGACCCTGCCGACCTGAAAATGGTAGGCAGGCACGGTGCAGGCTCACAACAGAGCTGAGCTGCTCACACGTGGCTGCCTGTCCCTGCCCCTGCCCCTGCCCCTGCCCCTGCCCCTGCCGTGAGTGGGTGCCGCCAGGGAGGCAGCAGGGTCCAGCCTGAAAGATGAACTGGCCACAGGGTCATTCATTCTCTCCTCAGGAGCAGCAGCTCTGCTGGTCCTGGCTGAGTCCAGCCCTGCCTTCAGGGAGCCCTCACTGAGCAGCCTCGGAGTCAGGAGTACTTCCTGGAGGAAGTGGCCCCTCGCTCCCTGTCCCTGCCGTGAGTGGGTGCCGCCAGGGAGGCAGCAGGGTCCAGCCTGAAAGATGAACTGGCCACAGGGTCATTCATTCACTCCTCAGGAGCAGCAGCTCTGCTGGTCCTGGCTGAGTCCAGCCCTGCCTTCAGGGAGCCCTCACTGAGCAGCCTCGGAGTCAGGAGTACTTCCTGGAGGAAGTGGCCCCTCGCTGCACCTGTCAGGCCAACAAGAGCAGGAAGGGTGTTCTAGCAGAAGGAGCCGTATATGCACAAGACGAAACCTCAGGGGCAGGAGGGAGCGTGTGCAGGGTGGCTCTGAAGAGGTCAGGTGTAGGATCCCTGGGGCCCGCAAGGCAGGGAGTGGGGACAGAGAGACTGTCCACCAGGGTAAGAGCCGGGACTTTTCCTAACCGGGAGACACCGCAGGGCTGAAGTGGAGGAGCCGGGCACCGTTTTAGGAAGATCAGGGAATGCACTGAACGTGCTGCAGGACATCCAGTGGAGAGGTGGGGTGGGCAGTCGGGTTAGCGATGAGACGAGAGGGCTGGGCCAGAAGAACAGGGTGAGCACCACTGGCCGTGGGGGGAGAGGGGCTCCCAGGGAGAGGAGGCAGGAAAAGGGTCCGATGGAACAAAGGACATGGTGGAGGCAGGGGCAGGGGCAGGGCTGGCTGAGGAGGGGTGAGCAGCCAGGGTCAGCCATGGCGAGCTGACTTGGGACCCGGACCCGGCTGCCCTGCTGTGATGACGTGCAGCACAGAGCCAAAGGGGAAGGAAGCCCCTTGCTGTGGCCCTGGGGCTGGTGGGGGCCTCGGGTGGAGCCTGAGGGAGTCAGTCTGGTGAGGGAGAGCCGTTCCTGGGTTCCTCAGAGGGTGAGAACCTCCTCCAGAGCTCCTGACCTGGGACCAGTGCCTCGAGGCCCCAGGCCCCCTCTGTCCTGAGGACAGTGGCTCGAGGGGGCCAGGCTTTAGCAGAAGCGTTTTTAGCCAAATCCTCCGAGAACCTGCGAGGGCAGCAAGGGCAGCCCCGCACTGGGTCCACTCGTCTGAGATGTTTCAGGCACCTCAGACCTGCCAAGGTCCACACAACGCGTGAGTCATGAGCGGAGCCCTGGCCCACCTCCGCACCCCAGCTGGCAGGCCCGGCCAGTGGGGCACAGAGAGGCCCGCTGAGGCCCTTCCCATGGTGGCCGTGTCCCTGTGTGCCCCTCCAGCCTCCCTCTGCCCTCTGACCTCCAGATCACAGACGGGCATCCCACGGGCACCTCCCACGCCACATGGCCAGCCCTGAATTTATGTCCTCCAAAAGCTGCTTCTCCTGCTGACCTCTCTGGACGGGCCCTCCATCCACCCAGCTGCCTTGGCCAGAGCCAGGGGATCATGCTCCACCTTCCTTGGGCCCCCACAGCCAATCCCCCATCACGTCCTGTCCTTAAGGAGCAGTAGAGCACCAAGGGGCTCGGCCACCTGCTAGGGGTGTCAATCTGGCCAAGTTAATTAACCTCTCCAGGTCTGTTTCCTCCTCTGTAGAATGGGGATCATTCTACTTCCTACCCCATAAGGTTGTTATGATTAGCTCATACGTACAAAATTCTAGGACAGCACCTGGCACAGAACCTGCTCTTTCTGGGGTTGCTGTCGTCTTGATGCCTCCTGCGTAGTCCACGCTGCCCTCTGCTGCCCTCTGCCCTCTCCCCTCCCAGAGTCCTTCCTTCCGTGTTGCCTGGTCCAGTCTCCCATCACCACCACCAGCCCATCCCTTGAACTGCAGCCACAGTGAGCATCTGAACCATGGGGACCGCTGTGCTCCCAGACAGTTCCCAGGGCTGAGTCCCCCTTCGGGGACCCCTGAGGCCTGTCTCGTTTGGACTTGAGCTGCCCGGTGACTATCCCCTCCCAGAGGCAGCAGGCAGTTCAGGCTTCTCTGCCTTTGCCTGGGGGACCCTCTCTCCAGGGCTGACTCTTGGTCCTCCCCCTTCAGAGTTCACGTCGGGCATCCCCTCCCCCAGGAAGCATCCACATTAGAGTTGAGTTACACGCACCTGCTCTGAGCTCCTATAGCACATGCCTCCAACCCAACACACCTGACAGCATTTGCTCACTCTCGCGTGAGTCACATGAGGGCTAACGCTGCCCCTTGTCAACCTGCTCTGCATGCAAGCCTTCAGGAAGGCTGGGGCATGAAGGACTGACCCGCCTGCAATCCCACCACGGGTGGGGGGAGAGGGAGGCGATTCTTTGGGGAAATGTTTGTCCTGGTCCTTCCCAGCCAAGGTACAAAGGACTAGGACAGTGATGGCGAACCTATGACACGCATGTCAAAGGTGACACGCGAACTCATTTTTTTGGTTGGTTTTTCTTTGTTAAATGGCATTTAAATATATAAAATAAATATCAAAAATATAAATCTTTGTTTTACTATGGTTGCAAATATCAAAACATTTCTATATGTGACACGGCACCAGAGTTAAGGTTTTTCAAAATGCTGACACGCCGAGCTCAAAAGATTCGCCATCACTGGACTAGGAGGACGCTGCATCGGGCGGCGGGACCCAGGTCTCAGCATGAAGGCACTGGTCACACCTTCCCTCGGGGGTGGGCTGACAGGGCTGAGAGGCACACAGAACGCATGTGCACATGTTCACACCTGACTCCGTAGGAAGCAGAAAGGCCACTTTTTGCTGTCAGGTCCCTGTAACAGCTGAGAAAACTAAGGTCCGGAGAAGTGAAGCTGCCCAGAGCTGCAGGGCTGGTGAAAGGGACAAGAACCTACATCTCCTGACATCGCTGCTTCTCAATAATAATCATAGTTACCGTGTGTTAAACATGGGGCCGGGCGCCTTGTGTGTGCGCTATTACAAGTTAGTTATTCTCCGTGTCCGTTAAAGATGAGGAAACCAAGGCCAGAGCAGGTGGGTGGTGAGCCCCAAGTCGCGGCACTGCTTCTTAATAATAATCATAGTTACCGTATGTTAAACATGGGGCCGGGCGCCTTGTGTGTGCACTATTACAAGTTAGTTATTCTCGTGTCAGTTAAAGATGAGGAAACCGAGGCCAGAGCAGGTGGGTGGTGAGCCCCAAGTCGCGGCCGCACGGGGAGGAGATGCTGAGGTGCACCGTCTCCCGGGCCTCAGAGCCCCTGTTCTCCAGCACCCAAGGCCCCCTTTTCCTGACCATCAGCCACGTCAATAGACGGCCAAACAGAAACCATGGTCCCCGACATGGCCTTGGGGGAAGGAGGGACGCCGCCGTCACTCCCCCCAGCCCGCTCCTCCTGCAGATTCCATCAGGGAAATAAGAGGTCGGGGATCAGAGACACAATGCTCCCCATTCAGGTGAGCGGCCGCCCAGGGCCCACAGCTGCCGCTGCTGCAGGGAGATTTATGACCTGCTCTAAATGTCACCTTTTCAACTCCCCGCGCTGGCTCCGCCACCTCTGGACTCAGCATGGCTGGACTGCTGGCCAAGCAGGGCCGGGAGACGTGCCGCCGCTCACCGCCACCCACAAACACTCCCGGGAAAGGGCCTGGCTGCGTCAGGAGGGTGGGCGTGGGTGCCGGGCACCCCTACCTGCAGTCTGCGATGAGCTCATCCATCAGCTGAGCCACCAGGGCGTCCATGTCCTCGGAGGAGCACTGCACCTTCAGGGCCAAGTGGACTTGCTCCAGGCCGGCTTCCTGGGGAAAGGCGGGCAAGAGTCAAGACGGTCACTGCAGGGCGAAGGTGCACCTGGACCCCAGCCCCAAGCCCCGTCACCACCCCCAGGCCCTGAGCCAAAGAGGAGAGCATTAGAGCAAAGACGAGACCCGACAAATCAGGGTCTGTCCTGGCTCCCACACCCAACTGACCCAAATTCTGAACCTGGGGCTCCAGCCTGGGGAGCACGTGGTCACAAGGAGGTTAGGTGCTGCGTGCAGCTCCTCACAGGCCCCTTCAAGCCAGGTCCGCCGTCTCACGGGTGAGTGACTGCCGAGCCCCTCCGGTTCCTGCCTAGGATGCTCTCTCCTTACAAATCCCACCACCCGGCCAGGCTCAGGGCACGGCCTCCCTGCCTCAGGAGCACTCAGAAACCTCCCATCACAGCGCTCCCATCCTACAAACTCCCGTGGCCAGGGGTTCATCTGCCTGTTCCCGAGCCTCAGCCCTGAGCTGGGAGGCAGAGACCTCCCACAGAGCACCCACCAGGCCAGCCCTGTCCCTCAGCCCCCCACGCCCTCCCCAGCCCAGCCTCCTGGCATGTGCTCCTCCCTGGGACCACCAGGCAGGACGGGCCCTGGAAAGAACACAGTTCCCACCCTCAGGGACTGTCCTAGGGGAGAATGGCTGACCCAGAGGACGGAGTTGGACTTAAAAGGCATCGATGCCAAGTCCTCCTGCACCTCGCAGTTTGCCAGTCTCAGGGATGGTGTAGGCCCCCACGGCCCTCCACCTGGGCCTGTATCCTCGCCCAGCCACTCCAAGACCCCACCTTCCCTTCCTCGTCCACCTTCCCTCCTCGCTGCGCTCACCTCCTCACCCACAGATGTGCCCGAGCCTTCCACACCCCTTCCCTCCAGCGATGCTCCTCACCTGCTCCAGCGGTGTGGCCACACCTGCCTCCTCATTCCCACGGGCCACGCGCCTTGTGGGTGAGCCTCCACCACATGCACACACAGGAACAGCCTGGGCCACCGCCAGAGCACCGGCTCCCGCCCTGGCCTCTACGCTTCTGCCCACTGTGATTCCCCTCCACTCTCCGGCCCAGCATCAAGCCGGCCACACCCAGACTCCACGGGCAAAGCCCTGGTAGCATCCAAATCAGGATTTACCACCTGCCTCTCTCCTGACTTCCTAATTCCCAGTCCTCCTTCTTCCCTCATCCAATAGACTCCCAGGGCCTCCTAGCCCAAGCCCTAGGAATTTCCACCCAGGTCATCTCCTTCCCAGTGCTGGTCACTCTCCCCTGGACCACTGCCACGGTGCCCTTCCCAGGCTCCTGCTCCCCCCTCGCGGCTCTGAGATGCCTCCCTGATGCTCCCCGGCCCTCCCACCCGGAGCCTCTGCTACTCCTGAAGTTTAGGACTTTTGTGTGGGTGAGCCCAGGCTCCCCGCACTAAACTGACTCCCTGAAGGCAGGTCAGCTTCTTGTTCATGTCTAACTTCTATCTGGACGTTTCTAGCACAAGTCCTTTCTGTGATAACGGTCAAAGGCATCTGATAAAAGGATGAACGAATGAGCAGGCGCCAGGCTCTGTCCTGCTCCTCGCTCAGCCTCTCTCAGCTCCTTTAATGAATAAATGAATGAGCGGGCGCCAGGCTCTGTCTGTCCTGCTCCTCGCTCAGCCTCTCTCAGCTCCTTTTCGGTGCTGTCTTCTCCATCAGACTGAGGGCTCCCCTGGCATAGTTCTCACTCCCTGTCCTCTCTTCCCCGTATGCAGGACAGGACCACAGCCTGGCCCGGTGAGGCCCAAGGGGCCCAGGCACAGCTGTAGGTGAGTGTGTGCACCCCCGGGGGCCGGTGTGACGACGCCCACGGCGGGGGTGCAGGCACAGGCTGCTTCCACTCACCAGCCGGTCAGCGATCCTGAGCAGCTGGTTCTGCGCCTCGATCCTGTGGCTGATGTCCTCCCAGTAAGATGACAGCACCACCACGGGCTTCACGTTGCCCCAGGGGAGGTAGTAGTAGTGGCAGCCTGGCAGGACACAGAGGGCCTGGTGCTGAGCCAGGGGTGCAGGGCTGGGGGAAAGGGGACCGAGGGTGGGATGGATTCTGGCACCTGCTCCCCCTCCCCACTGAGATCTCCGTGGGACACACACGCGTGTGACAGTGTTTCCCAGAGTCCAGACAAGGTGCCCACGCTCCCCCTCTGTGCTGAGGACAGCCGCTGCTCTCACGGGGGCTCCTTAACGCAGCAAAGCAGGGGGGCTGCTGGAAGGATGCTGGGGACCCGCATTCTCTACATTCTCTACGCCAAGCCCCACAGCCACCAGGTGATCAATGACCCCACAGGTCAGAATCAAGGCTCACTATAGCCAGTTTGGGAAAACCAATCTGTGGGTCCTGGCAGCAGGGACCCCTGGAAGGTGATGGGGAGGAGGCACAGGGGGAGCCAGCAGAGGGTCCCCCACAACAGGCCCTCGAGTGGACCTCTGGCAACTTCGAATGGGAGGCAGGACGTAGGGCCCGGCCCCCCTCCAGGATCTGGGCTCCATCCAGGCGCGTGGCCTCTGGCCTCACCGTCAAAGACCGCCCGGCTGTACTGGGTGGTGGAGGCCAGCGGCAGGCAGGTGTTATCGAACTTGTTGCCGTAGTTCCCGATGCTGACCTCGAACTGAATGGCATCGTCGACATCCTGCAGCATGGACGCTGAGTAGAAGGCCGCGAAGAGGGAATACTTGCGCCTTCGGAGGTACTTCTGGAAGCAGAGAGGGCGGCCAGAGAGTCACAGGGAGGAGGAAGGGAGACACCGGGGGCAGAGGGGTCACATGTCTGGCAGGCCCTGGCGGTGCCTGGCGCCCAGTAAATCCTGGCTGGACGGATGGGTGGCGCATGGTCCAGCTCAGCAACAGCGCCCAGATTCGGTTACTAACTGAGCAAACTCATTCCAGGCCTGTGTGCTTGGCCACGTTCCTCTAATAAGGTTACGCCTCCAAGGCCATGCTGCTCCTTAATCCAAACCAGCAGCCATGGCACCACCACCCCAAGGAGCCTGGTCTTCTGCATCTGCTGTTGAGCAGGGGCGAAGGCTCTCGACCACGTGCCCTGCCCAGGGCTCCCAGCCCACCGCTCAGGGTCTCCCCGCGCCAGCCAGCCCTGCAGTGTCCCAGGCTGCCATGGGCTTGGGACCAATGGATCCCCTTGTCCCCTCTGGGCATCAGGCACAGGGCGAAGGACATGGGAAGCACTAAATACAAGAACCAAGGTGACTTTACCACCCACTTCATGGAAGGCAGAGAGAAGAGGGTCACACGAGTGGGTTTGGGATCATGTAAATCAGTGGTTCTCAACCTTCCTAATGCCGCAACCCTTTAATACAGTTCCTCATGTTGTGGTGACCCCCAATTTCATTGTTACAAATTGAACATAATTAAAGCATCGTGATTAATCACAAAAACAATATGCAATTATATATGTGTTTTCCGATGGTCTTAGGCGACACCTGTGAAAGGGTCGTTCGACCCCCAAAGGGGTCGCGACCCACAGGTTGAGAACCGCTGATGTAAATAGTAATAACAGCTAACACTGACGGAGTGCTTCCTGCAATGGGTGTGAATTTAATCCTCACAACACACTGACGAGGTAACTGTAGTGATTACCCCCACTTTACAGACAGGGGACTCAGACAGCTGGTGGGTGGTCCAGCCAGGACTGAAGCAAGCGCCTGCTGACTACAGAGCCTGAGAGTGCAGGCTCCATACAGCTGCCTCTTGGACACAAGGCCCAGCTCTCCCACTTGCTGCTCTGATTCATTCGAGCCTCCGCTTCCTCATCTGTAAAATGGAGATACTAACAGTCGTCATCTCGTGGGTGCTGGGAGGACGCAGTGACAGCGGACTGTCACTAGCACAGTGTCTGACACACGGTGAGTGCCTAATAAGTGTGAGCTATTCTCACATTATTGTTATCAAATAGCCTCTCGGTTTGGATTGAGCTCTAGACTTTTAAAGTACTTTCGTTCATTGTTTTTGAGTCTCTGAACATTCCTCGGGGAGGCAGGGTAGTCATGGGGTTACTCCCACTTCCCAGCGGAGGCCCAGGGAGGTGAAGGCGAATGAGCATGGGTGGAGCCGAGCTTCCCCCACCAGGACACCTCCAGGCCAGCCCCCCTCGACCACCACCCTCACACCGCAGAGAGCCGCGCCCCTCACCTCCACCCGGAGAATGTCGTCTGCGGGGAGATCCTCCACCTTCTGCTCGCAGTGCTCCACCAGCTTGGTCTCCAGGGACAGCAGCACCCGGCCCCGGTAGGCCACACCTTCCCCCTAGAGCGGAGGTTGGATCACTAGGAGCAGGGGGGATGGAGAGGAGGAGAAGGAAAGGGGCCTGATCTGCCCCCGAGGCTGCTCATTTCCCAGGCACCAAGGAGGTCCCTGGGCCACCCCATCACTCTGCAAATAAGGAAATGGTGCCCAGAGAGTCCGGGGGACAGGCCAAGCCTCCCAGACGGTCAGTACCAGACTCCAGCCCAGCCAGAGGAGAGGTGAGACCTGAGACAGATAGGGGCTAAGAGGGGGAGGGGGACCTGGGCCCCTCAGGGGCCAGGAAAGTGGGGGGATCAGGCTGGCCCCGAAGGAGAGGCAAAAGAGAGGGGAGTGGGAGGGAGGAAGGAGCCAGGATGGGGCCAGGCAGGAGGAGGGCTACTGGCCCTGGGCCTGCTCAAGCCCTACCAGGCCTTGCAGTCCCGGTGGCCCCCAGTACCGCCAGGCCAGGCTGGAAGACCTGGGGATCCAGGAGTGTGAGGGGTCTGGCGGACTCACCTTGCCCATGTTGAGCTCTGCATAAGGGTCCGGGAAGCCGGTGAACTCCCGGGGACTGCCGTAGAGGTTGACGTAGCAGGGCCCAAAGGTGGGCAGGAAGCCCAGATGGTCGTCCACTGGGAGACACAGGCAGGGTCAGAGGGCTGGCCACCCTCGGGCCTGAGCCCACCCCTGGGCCTCGGTTCCCTACACGGCGAGGGGCACAGCCTCATACATGCCTAAAGAGCAGTGACACTGATGAGAGCTCCCTTTGTCTCCCATGCGGCCCTCTAATCCCCACCCCAATGCTGAGATGTGGACATTTTTATTATTTTTATGATCTCATCTTATAGACGAGGAAACTGGGGCTCAGGGGTGCAAAGGAGCCCATGACTCCAATGTGCCATGACCCAAAATGGTCTGAGCTCAAGTCCATGCACCAAGCCAGCACGTAAGTCTGGGGCCAGGGTCCTCCCCTGCCCCCCCTCAGGCCACACCCCATCCCTCAGCGCCTCCCCAACCCATACATGAGAGTGGGGAGGCACAACGGAGGCCCAGAACCTCATGAGTGGGGAAGCCCTCTCCCAGGCACCGAGGAGCGGGCCCCGCCAGATATCCCCCCACAAGCAACCCCTGGCACATATCTCTCCACCCCGGAAACAGACCCTAAGAGCCCTGACTCATGCTGGCAACCCCTCCCTCTTCCCTCTGTGCACAGAACAACCTCCCAGTGGCACAGGCTGGAGGAGAGTTAGAAGAACTACACTAACATCAGGGAAAAGCTCTTCTCAGCATCCTTCTTAGGGGCCCTCTTTTGTTCATGTCATCATTTTCCAGCTGGCAGCCAAGTTTCCCAGGATGAGACTTCACTGGCTGTACTCTGGGAATATTGGGGGTGGAGGCTGGGGTGGGGGAGGGGAGACAAGAACTATCCGGGGTGCTCCAATCCATACAAGGAGTCAGGTGGGCACAAAACAAATGGCCTCAGCGAAGAAGGGCTTGATCCAGACCTGAGCTGTGATCCCCGAATCCCAGCCAGTGGTGAGATGCTAGTGGGGGGACAGGGTGGGGGCAGGGACGGGGCTTGAGAAATAAGAAATCCCTGGCCAGAAGGCAGGAACAGCATGCCTCCCCCAGAGCCAGGGGCCACCCTGTGTCCATCTCCACTCTCCCTCCAGTCGGCACAGACAGGGCTCCGGCACTGGGACGGGGTGGGAAGCCCAAGGCCGATGGAACACGAGCACTGCTAATTACTTGTAACAATCATCTCAACTATGAGTTACCTTTCAAATTTCAACTTCAAGAGTTCTCAGCTCCCCCTGTCCTCCTACTGGTCCCCAAGATGTCCCCTTCCCCGCCAAGGACACCCATGCAAGCCCCACCCGCTCCCTGCTGAGAGAGTGGGTTCATTTGAGCAACCGATGGAGCCCAGCAGATTTAGGAAGAGGTTTGGGGAGTGGGAGGCAATTGCCTTTAAAGCAATTTATATATCAGTATTCCATCAAGATTGAGAGGTTCAGTCAACGGTAAACTAGGGGACCATGGTGGGGAATCTCAGACCCACCTCAGGCAAATCAAAACTTCGCGGCAAGCAGCACCCTCTTCCCTCCAGCGGAAACCCCAGACCCACCCCACCCCTCATCTTCCCCACAGCACGTACTGTCCGAGGCTGGAGGAGGCTTGGCCACACCTGCAGGCTCCTCTGAAGCGTAAAGAAATGGAAAAGGGGTTAGGATGGGCATGGCTCGGAGGAAGTCTGGTTACGTGAAAGGGAATGTGGACGGAGAGCTGGCAGGCAGACAGATGGAAAGACAGCTCCCGTGTGGGAAACAGATGTGGCCCAGCCCTGCTGTGAATTTATCACCAACTAAGTCATCAAGGAGCACCCCCCCTCAGCCAAACACAGCCCCCAGCACCCTGGTGAGCCCTCAGGTCCCTCCCCACTGGTGTCTGCCTGCACGTCTGTGTGCTCTGTTTGCCAATTGAAAATTGGACCCAAAACTTGACTCGATACATTCAAGAAATAACACTGAGAAGAAAATGTGCTTTTCCATATTATAGCCAGAAAAGTGAGGGAAACAAAGTACAGACACAAAGAAAGGGTGGGGGAAGCACGAAAGGGCCAGAGCGAGGCAGCCAGGCACACCCAGGGCTCCACCCAACAGGCAGGTTGACACTTGGGACCCAGCTCCCCGAGATGTGGCATTTCAAGGCACAACATCTCCACCTAGTGGCCATGTCTAGCATTGCCGCCGTGTTGCACTTGCACAACAGCAGGCGCTGGGATCTGGCTTCTGGCACCTGCCTCTGCAAGTGAAACACAGTGACAGACACTGCCCATCAGCTGAAGGTTCTCCACGCTCGGGCGTGACCCTCAATGCTGGCCATGGGTGTCCATAAATAAGAGAAGCAAGGAAGGAGATGCTCTGGCAAACTTCCAGGCTCTTGGAATCCATCCCTCACTTCTAGGCAATTACAAGATGCCCCCCAAAGAGTGAGCACCCCTCAGTCACCTTCCACAGTCCTCTCTGATTTTTGCCCTTTCCCATACTCCTCCTCCAATCAGCTAAGGGCAACTTAGTTTGGGGTCATGACCAAGCCTGGAGATGTGGATGGTGAAATCCTGATTATTCTCATGCATTGGTCACCCTTACCTATTGGTCTCCTTAAGAAAAATAATGCCTACGACTATTTCCCCAGGGCTCCATGGCTGCAGGTAAGAGCCAAGCGCTCAGCAAAACACTGTGAAAGAAGAATGAGCAGAGACACAGAAAGAGTGTGTGTGGAGAAGAGGGGAGTTTGGAAGTGTGGATCCACGGCCAGGGCTGACCACTGAGCACAGAAGGCAGCCAGGAGGGCGAGGCCCAGCTCCAGGGGGCGTGGGACCCAGCCCCTCAGCTCTCCCAGCCAGGCCTCAGCTAGAACACCACCTGGCAGAAGTCCGCTGCAGAAACCACAGTTCATGGCCATGTTCATACCCACAGACACAGGTTCTCGTCAGTGGGGGAGCCGGGCCTCTGGTCACAGGGGAGCTTTCGGCAACAGCGAGAGGACCCACACAGACCCGGCTGGAGCCCCTAGGAGAGCAGTGGCCAGGGCCCCCCTGGAGCAAACAGATTCCATTTTAAGCTCCTTCCAAATGAGCACAAACAAGCCCAGCCAGTTATCTCAGGCTAATAAGGCCAAGGTCAACCTTCCAACCTCCATGTGCTCGGTGCAGAGACAATCTCGCCTTCCCACCCACAAACTGACTCTGGATCCTGGCTGCAAACTGGTGCCCAGCCCAGACACAACTGTCCCCTAAACCCACCAGCCAGTGGCTAGGAGGACCAAAGGGTGGCTGCAGAATAGCCTGTTTCCCAACGGTACCTTTCATTAATTCCTTCACCCGTTCGTTTGTTTGTTCAGCAGACCAGCCCAGGCACAGTGCTGGGCGCTAGTAGGACATAGCCCTGCTGACAACTTAGGCCAATGCTTCTTAACTTGGGGGCAGGGTGCTAGGGCTCCGGGTGTTGAGGATCACCCCCAGGGTCTCTCCCCTGGGTCTGCAGACAGCTCATAAAGTCAAGGGCAGAGTGACCAGTGAAGGCACCCAAGACAATGCGTCTATTCAGTCCTTACCGCCCTTCTGCCAAAACACCAAGTGTTTCGGCGTGTTTTCCCTCAGACCAAAGAAGCCCCAAAACACAGATGAATACTCCCAGTTTTGTGGCCTGAGCAACCAAGCCCAACTCTCTCACCTGGGGAAGCTAAGGGAGACGAGAGCAGGCCCTCCCAGCCCAATGAGCCACACATCACAGCCCCCGGGCAGTCCCCGGGGCACCCGTGTCCACTGGAGACGCTGAGGCCGGTACCTGCAGCCAGCCCTGCCCCTCGGCACACCCCACACACCCACGGTTTGGCTGCCTGACACCAGCCTGAGCCAGGCGGGAGGAGACACCGAGAACTGCTGGGGAATCACTATCATCTTCGTTCCAAAGACAAAAAGAAGAACTTCAGATTTCTTCGCTGTGGAAAAACTGTAGGGCTCAAGTGCTATTTAGGTAGCGCGGGTTTTCATATGTATAACATTATAAGAGAATCTCTGTGGGTTTCACGGGCCTCGTGCATCTGTTCCCTTTTAAAAGAACTGCAGCTTCTGGGGAAAGCACTCTTTTTCAGAAAACAAAATTTTTACTAAGTGCCTTGGCTTGCAGGGTCCAAGGAACACTTCAGTGTGCCAGGCAAACTTGTGGGCAGAGGGCTTAAGAGGCCACTGTTAGGTCCGGTCCTCATTGGAAATAAACACGAAAACAAAAACTCCTGGTTGGACCAAATAATCTGGTGAACCATGAGGCCGGGACTACAGAGAAAGAGCCCATTTTTACAGCTCAGTTTAGTTTGGGTTTGGAGAGCCGTGGCAAAATAAAGGACGGTGCATTGTCGTGCTGTAAGGGCCCCCCCCCCCCCACCCCCAAGGTGAAGGAAACTACAAAGAGCTGAACGGAAAGGTGCGGTGGCATCTTCTGAGGTGGCCTCAGGACAAGGGGGAGGAGGCTGGCCCGGAGTGAGGCCAGTGCGAGATTCCAGGGCCCGGGCAAGGGCCATCTGCGGGAAGGGACATCAGAGCAGTGGTGCAGAAGGGCTCCGGTGTGAGCAGTACGTTTAACTCATTTACTGCTACAGAGATCGCGCTATCTAACAGCACATGTTAAACTGGTGATTCTCATTTAGTTCCAAAACAATCTGTGGGAGCCGGTGGTCAGCCTCTGAACGCCTCCCTGAGCCACACGGGGTTACCCATGGCCTGAGCGCCATCTAGTGGCCAAATCAGCACCTTTCTCAGGTTTCCATTAAAATATTCATCATAGCCCAGAAAACAGATCAAGGCCATCATCACCACCAGAAGGAAGCCTGAGGGGAGCCAGGGACCTAAACTCCCCTTTGGCGGCTGATGGCAGGCGTCGCTGTAACCTCAGGAAACAGCAACTGCCGGGAGAGTCGGGTGGTTACTTTGTGCCTCTCCCAGGGTCTGTCCCTGGATTCAGGGACAGGGAAGCGCCAGACAGCAAACTGGAGACGTTTCTTCCATAGCAGGAGCTTCGGTCTGCGACAGGGGCCAGGACAGCCTCTCTCCCACCCCACCCACCCCCCTGCCCTCACCTCAAATCTTTCTACAGCCAAGACAGCCACCCTCAGAAATGATCTGAACAGCATTAGAGAAGGGGGCCACCCGGGGCAGCAGCTCCCACAGTTCGGAGGGTGAGGGGCTGGGGCAGGAGGAAGCCTGGTAGCAGTGCCTTCTGGGAGGCAGTTTTTGTGTGTTTCACTCATTACAAGTATCAGCAATGAAATCAGAGCAGCTAGATGTTGAAACTGAGTGAGGAAACCTGGGAGTTCATTGTACAATCCTTTACTTTTATGTGTGCTTGAATTTTCTATCATTAGAAGTTCTTTTTGTAATGTTTCAGAGAACCTCGAGGGATTGGTCAACGTCCAGGGCACTGGGTGGAGTCTTCTAGAAACTGGGCGCGTTCACCTGTCCTCCAGGGAAAGATCTGACCAGATGGATGGACAGGCCCCATAGAAAGACACCGACACTCTTGTCAGAGTGAGCAACGAAGGGGGAGGAACAACAGTGCCGACCAGGAGAGGGAGACGGCATCTGTGAGATTAAGGAGCGCGTTCCCCTGGAGATCTCAGGAAATAATGCTGAACCCTCAGTAGAGTACAAGGAGACATAGCTTTCGTGGAACAAAGCTAAACTTCTGGGAGAGAGCAGACAAAGAGGGAAAGGAAAAAATATTAAAAGGAATGACAAGAAAAGAAGGCGTGACAAGAAACTAAAAATGGCCCTAACCGGTTTGGCTCAATGGATAGAGCGTCGGCCTGCGGACTCAAGGGTCCCAGGTTCGATTCTGGTCAAAATATCAGAATTAAGACAGGGGGAAATCAGTGATGTAAAAGCCAATACTGATGATACTAAACCAGGGGTCCTCAAACTTTTTAAACAGGGGGCCAGTTCACTGTCCCTCAGACCGTTGGAGGGCCGGACTATAGTTTAAAAAAAACTATGAACAAATTCCTATGCACACTGCACATATCTTATTTTGAAGTAAAAAAACAAAACGGGAACAAATACAATATTTGTATTTGAAATCAGTGATGTAAAAGCCAATGCTGATGCTACTAAACCTTACTTTGGGGTTTATTGTGTACCAGACACCCTAAGAACTTGACATTTAAAATCTCACTGGATCCTTATAACCACCTCCTGCGCCTGGGGTTCCTAAGAGGAGACTGGAGCGACTCACACAGCTACAAAAAGCACAACTGAACCTAAGCTGCTGGTTCCAGAACTCCTGCTCTATCCCTGCCCACCCTGCCTTCAGCATCCAGGCTGTGATGGTAGAATAAAGGAAATTACTCCTCAGCTCAGATTTAAGAATTCACCATGTCTCAGACAAAATTCAATAAAAGGAGTGCTGCATCTAGACAGATGAAAGTAATGTTTTAAACTGCAATAAAAACAATACATGCCTAAAAGCAGCATCTAGTTAGAAAAAATAGACTACCTACAAAGGAATCAAATCAGGCTGCTCTCTGAAAACACCCCAAAATAGATTAAATATCTAGATGTAAAAAATAAAAAATAGAGGTAAATATAACCTTGTGGTTTGCTGAAGGCCAAAAGCATGACATATGGGACCAGAAACCATATTTACATTATTTAAGTTAGAAATACTGAAAATAAACACAAGAAGTTGACTAGAAAGCTGAAATAAGAAACAACAAAACACGTATAGAGTTAAAGAAAAGAGTAAAAAGATAGAGAATTAAAAACTAGAAAATATATTAGAATTGATAAATAAATCCAAAAAACTGATTTTTGAAATGTCCAGTAAAGTAGGGGTTAAAATTTTTCTAATAAGGCTAATTATGAAAAAAGAAAGAAAACTCAAATACATATCATTAGAAATATGAAAGCAGGAAACATCACAGATAGAGAATTGTTTAAATTATTGATCTGTACAATACTGTATAAATAAATTAGAAGACCTCAATGTAATAATGCTTTTCTAGGAAAATATAAATCATCAAAACTGACTGTAGTAAAAGTAACAAACTGAAAATAACAATGATCACAAGAGAAACAGAAAAGTTTTTAAAGAGCTAGTGTTATACTCACTCAAAAAGGGCACCCAGCCCATATGGTTTTATGGGTGAATTATTTCAAACCCTCAAAAGACTATATTCTCATGTTATATAAACTGTTTCAGATTTTCGAAAAGACTTAAATTTGTCCAATTAATTTTGCAGAGCTAAAATAACCTAGAAACCAAAACCTAAGAAATAATAAGCACACATACCCATCCTATATAATAAAAGGGTAATATGCAAATCGACCGAATGGTGGAACGACCAGTCGTTATGATGCACACTGATCACCAGGGGGCAAACGCTCAACACAGGAGCTGCCTCCTGGTGGTCAGTGCACTCCCACAGGGGGAGCACCGCTCAGCCAGAAGCAGGGCTCATGGCTGGTGAGCGCAGCGGCAGTGGCGGGAGCCTCTCCCGCCTCCGCAGCAGTTCTAAGGATGTCCGACTGCCAGCTTAGGTCCGCTCCCAGTTGGACATTTCCCAAGGATTCCCGGACTGTGAAAGGGCACGTGCCGGGCTGAGGGACCCTCCCCGCCCTGAGTGCATGAATTTCGTGCACCGGGCCTCTGGTTAAAGATAATAGAAAATCAAAAAACAAGCCCAAGGATTGGTACAGCCATTATGAAAAAGAGTATGGAGTTTTCTCAAAAAATTAAATATGGAACTGCCATTTGACCCAGTGATCCTACTTCTAGGAAGATATCCTAAGAAAACCAAAACACCAATCAGAAAGAATGTATGCACCCCTATGTTCATAGCAGCACGTAATACAATAGCTAAGATCTAGTAACAGCCCATCAGTAGATGAGTGGATAAAAAAGCTGTGGTACATCTACATACACCATAGAATACTATGCAGCAGTAAAAAAGAAGGATGTCTTACCCTTTGAGACAGCATGGAGGGACCTGGGGAGTATCATGCTAAGCAAAGTAAGCCAGTCAGAGTCAGAGAAAGACAAGTATCACATGATCTCACTCACATGTGGAGTCTAATGAACAAAATAAACTGTTAACAAAATAGGTCTAGAGAGAAAATAGATCGTAGAAGCATGAAACAGACTGCAGAATCTCAGAGGGAAGGCAGAGGTAGGTGGGTGGGTGGGTAGAAAGAGATCAACCAAAAACTTGTATGCAAATATGCATAACCCATGGACACAGACAACAGGGTGGTAGCAGGGGGCGGGGGCAGGCTAGAAGGGGTCAATGAGGGAAAAGGGGGACATATGTAATACTTTCAACAATATTTTTTTAAACAAGCCCAAGAACACATCTAGTAATTTAGTAAGGGTTGGTGGTATTTCCAAATGTAGGGAAAAGACTATTCAATATATATCCTTTTTGTAGCTGACTTTCTATGTGACAACACACTTTTAACCTCCTTTATCTCTCAGTGTATCACCAAAGGACGATTTTGAAAAAAATAATGTTAGCTCCTTGCCTTATAACACTAAGAAAAAATATAACAGATCTGGCTACATAAAGATTTTAAATTTCTGTTCATCAAAAACTATTAAATGGTAAAATAAAGCTGACAAAAATTAATCCGCATAAATGATGAGAGAAAGTGAACGTCCATACACATACAGAACTCTTATAAAACACTGAGAAAAAGACAAACATACCACCAGAAATTTGGACAAGAACATGAACATACAATTTACAATAGAATGTAATAGAATAAAGTATATAAATATATTTAATTATCATAATATTTTTAAATTTGCATTGGTCAACTTCATCAGTTTTCAATGAAATGAAAACCAAGGTAACAATGAAATTCACCCGTCAAATTAACAAAGTTCTGTTTTAATAACATTACTTTGCTCTGTGTTGGTAAAGGTGTAAAAAGAAAAAACTTCTGCAAGTGATTAGAATGTAAATCTGTCCAATCTTTTTGAAGGGCAGTTTTGATATATACCAAAAGCTTTAGAATGTTCAAATCCTTTGACACAGCAATTCCACTGCTAGGCGTTCCTCCAAAAGGAAAATTGTGAATTGAATAAAGAGTCAGCTACAAAAATATTCAATATAAAGTCAGTTGTTTATAATGTGGAAAAATTAGAAAATATCTAAACAATTCAACATTAGCTAGTTAACATGGATTTTGGTACATGCATATGTGGAACATGTGTATTCATTTAGAATTATATTGTAGAAGAATATTTAATGACATGAATAAACATCTATGCTGTATTGCCAAGTGATAGAAAGCAATGTTCAAAGCAACTGAAAATTTTTTCAAAACAATGTTTTTCATGTATATAGGTACATACACATGCATGTACGTGTATATGTACACATACATGCATGTAGGTGTACATACATACATACATTTAGAAAGGTCCCAAAATACCAAGTTAGTTCCTGTCTGGATAGAGGGTAGGCTGGATACAAGGTAGGCTTATGGGTAATTTCATGGGTAAATGTTATAATCTTTCAGATGGTTTCTTTAACATTTTACAAAATGATCATGGACTACTTTTTAACAGACCAAACGTATTTCAAAAGAGATGCTGCGAGAGCACAGTCGGCCAATACCGAACCCCTGGGTGGTGTGGTGCCGCCCCCATGTTATCTGCAGGAGTGAACTGTCCTCTCTATCCCATCGGAGATGCGTCCCCCCCTCCGAAGGTGGAGAATCCTAGGTGTCCATAGGCCCATCTCTCGTTGGTCAGAGCCTTGGGAAATGGGCAGCAAAGACTTGTCATCTTTCCTTTTCTGCAAACTCTCAAAACTAGAGGTGCAAGATGGGCAGGGGTGGAACGAGGGGGAGCATTGGGTACTAGAGGGCAGAACAGAGGGGGAGCTTACCTTCTATTTCTCCGCCAGGGGCAGAGATCTTCGACATACTCAGGTAGGTGGTGGCCACGATGTCATTGTGGGTAAGGCGGTCCCTAGAACAGGGGACAGAGAGGGCCTGGACAGGGGGAAGATTGAGGACACAGCCCACCCAGCAGGAAATGGCTCTGGTTGTCCATCACCAGGGGTCCCAGTCTTCACACTGGATATTTCACTGAGGCCTGGTCATCCCAGGGAAGAAGAAACTGGGAATAAAGTGTTGCTCAAGCCGCCTCAGGTGGAAACTCGTCCGTTTCACAACCATCAGCATCATTATCAAGCCAACACCGGGATGTTCTTGGGGACACTTCAGGTGACAGGGAGGAGGGAGGAGGCAGGAGGCTGCTCAGGGAGCCAGACCCCCAGACCCTGGGAGAGCCAGGCACCAGGAGCTCAAAAAATATCCAGACCCAGGAGAAAACCAAGTAACCAGGAAGACACTACCTCCAACACAAATGCACTATTCCTTTTTTGTGCTTGGGGGAGAGGGGAGATTTGAATATATTTTTATTGATTTCAGAGAGGAGAGGAGAGGGAGAAAGAAACATCAATGATGAGAGAGAATCATTGATCAGCTGCCTCCTGCACGCTCTGCACTGGGGATCAAGCCCACAGCCCAGGCACGTGCCCTGACCGGGAATCGAACTGTAACCTCCTAGTTCTTATGTCAATGCTCAACCACTGAGCCACGCCGGCTGGGCCACTATTCCTTTTTGTATCTGACTTTCTATGTGACAACACACTTTTAACCTCCTTTATCTCTCAGGACCCTCAAAACGGCCTTAAAACTGAGTCTTAGAACCAGGAAGGTCCTTGTCCAAGGTCAGCCTGGGAAGGAAGGGCAGAGCCAAAACCCAGCCCTGATGTCCTGTTTCCTGCTCAGTGTGCCCTGGGGGGCCTGTCCTGCTTCCCAGGAGGGAAGCTTCTCTCCTCCCAACCAGCATAGGGGACTGCGGGTACGAGTTCTAGAAGACTTACTGATGGGTGAACCCATTAGCCAACCATGTCCTGTTGGTAATAATATAGAGTAATAGCTGGCATTTACTGAACACCTACCGAAAGCCAAGCACTTGCTAAAACCATCACAGGACCCAGCTCATGTCCGCACGGCAGCCCTCGGAGGTAGGTACTACAATCAGCCCCAACCTCAGATGAGAAAGCTGAGGTGTAGAAGATTAAATAATTTGTCAAGATGGCATTTGAGCGGGCTATGCCCGACATTTGATTACAGCAACCTGCTGCTTCCCCGTCAGGCTACACCAGGGTCTCTCAATCCAGCGATGTGGACCCCCAGCGGACCCTTGGCGATGTCTGAGGCATTTTTGGTATTGAGAGGAGGGCTGTAGAGAGAGGTCCTGGTTGCTAAACATCCTACAATGCATGATACAGTCTCCCACATTTTCTGGCCAAAATATCATCATGCTGAGGCTGAGAAATGTTGGGTTGAGCAAGTTATTTCCTTCTGGAAGTTTCCAAGGTGCATTTGCTCTGTTTTTTTGTTTTTTGGTTTTTGTTTTGTTTGTTTTACCTTTGTAGCCTGAAGGCCCTCTCTCCCTGCTTCCCGTCCTTTGGCCCTGGGTGGCGTCAGGCGATGATACGCAAGTCCCATGTGAAAGACAACCCGGCCTGGTGACTTTTTCCTCTTTTAAATCTAAACCCCATCTGGGCTGCTCCCTTCCTTCCTCTTCATGTTTCCCAGGGAGGTGATTAAGCTTGGTTTTAACTTTTTCCACCAGGACGGCAGCTACACTAGGAAGAGTGATTGTCAGCACTGATCTTTATCATTTCTCCCGGTGAACAATGCTGATGCAAACTAGAACAACTAGAACCTTAAAATTCACTTTTTACAATGGGATTATCGACACCAGATCACCGACAGCCGGGGGGGGGGGGGGCGCTTTTAAACTGCCTCCACGACCAGCCCACCACGTGGAGGGGAACCTCTGGTCTTACCTGAACCAGCTGAGGAGGCAAAGAGAATGGGAAGAGAAGTTTTGTTTTTAAGGGGGCAGGAGCGGGGTAATTTGGAAGGGGTTATTTTTTAATGAAGAAGGAATTCTTAAAGAATCGAACGGAAGTTTAAGTTACAGAGAAAAGGCCGAATGGACTAGATCATATTTCCAGGCCTCAGGTAGAAACACAAGTTGATCTGCATTTTCTGGGAAGAAAGCACTGCTCTGGACAGGAACTTTCAGCAGCAGAATGCTTTCTGGCCAGAAGTTGGGTTTTGGGGCTTGGGGTTGCTTTTGGAAAATACAGCAAGTCTGAAAATAGACTCACAATAAAAATGCCACTTCAACCCAAACCAGAGAGGCAACCACCAGATTCCGTCATGTGTTTGGATTGTACAGTATGCCGAGGCCTTTGACACAGCTCACGGGGGCTCAGGCAAGGCCTGTCCCCACGCACACGGGACAACCGCCCCATGTACACCCACGCACACATGCATCCACATGCACAGACACATGCATCCACATGCACAGCCGTGCACAGCCAATCACCCAGGCAACACCACGCACACACATTCGCACACGCACTGCGAGCTAAGATGAAGAGATCATCTGTGGACACAAAGCACGTCTCCCCCCAGACCGCTTCCCCACGGAACATACCGGCGGTCAGGGCCCCAGAGGCCTCTCCCTCCCGCCCTCCTGGCTGCTCCCTTCCTCTCCTCTAATTCTCACAAGCTGTTTGCTTTGGGCCCGGGGAACTGGCGTGCACGGTAATGGCTCTGTGGCCTGGGGGTTTTCCCCAGTCTCTCATTATCCTCCTGCTGGGGGTGCCCTGGGCCCGAGACCAAAGGACAACACACTGGGAACCGCACAGCCCAGGCCTTTGGGGGCAGAGAAAGGACAACTCTCTCTGTTTGGAAAGCCTGGTGTATGGAAGGTCCTGGAGATCAGCGTATGGACCCCTAAGGGCCCTCGGGTGCGGGAGAGACCCCCTCCACACAGCAGGAGGCGGCACGGCCACTGGTGAAGTGTGGGCTTGGGGAGCAGGCCTGGCCTCAGCTGCCCCCAGCTGTCACCCAGAGCAGATTACTCAGTCTCTGCAAGCCTCCCTCCTCACCTGTAAAGGAGGAGTCAAGCCCTAGCTGGTTTGGCTCAGTGGATAGAGCATCAGTCCACGGATTGAAGGGTCCCAGGTTCAATTCCGGGCAAGGGCATGTACCTCAGTTGCAGCCCCAATCCCTGGCCCTGGTCAGGGCACGTGCGGGAGGCAACCAATTGATGTGTCTCTCTCACATCGATGTTTCTCTCTTTGTCCCTCCCTCTCCCTTCCACTCTCTCTAACACTGGGAAAAAATATCCTCGGGTGAGGATTCACACACAAAAAAGGGAGTCAAGCTGAAGGTCAGGTGAGATCCTGCATGTAAAGTGTTTGCTGGGCACAGCCTGGCGGACAGTAGGTGCTCAACAAGTGGTAGGTGCTATTCCTTTCCCAACATGCCCCTGTGGCTACTGCCCTCACCTGTTTCAAGCCCCCAGTGGCACCCCCTGCTTAGACAATCCTGGCACTTCTCAGCATGGGGCCCTCCCACCCCATCCTACCTACCCAGAAGGCATCGCAGCCTATCCCCCCAGAAGCTCTGCTGTTTCAGCCTCCTTGCCTTTGCTTGTGATCCCCTCTTTACTGGAATGCCCTCATTAAAACCCCACCTCCTCCAGGAAGCCTTCCTGCCTCCTCCTGACCTCAGGGATCTTAGGCTCCTGGAGTCCTCCCAGTCCTACCTGGCTGCCCTCCTATCTGCCTCTGAGCAGGGCTACAAGTGAGTTTCCCAAGAATGGCCCACACCCTCTCCTCCTCTGCCTCCCCCAGAGGAGACTGAGTCACCCAGAACACACACGCCCACTGCGTGCAGACTGAACTGAACGACCCAGCGACCCCTGAGGACGGCCACTCTGAGGACAGCTCCCTCCAAGGACTGCGGCGTGGAACTCACCAGTCCATGATACGAATCCTCATTTTCTCACACATGGAGGGAAACTATAGAGAGAAGAGATGCATGTTGGTGTGGAGTCCTTTTGAAGAACCAGGAGTCTGGGAAGCGGGTGGGATGCTGGGGAGGCCAGGAGCCTGGGGCCCCCGGGTGGGCCCACGAGGGCCGAGGCTCACCATGGCAGGCACCGTGATGCTCTGGTTCCACTGAGGGTTGGCCGTCTTCTCCAGGATTTTGCTGCAGAGCTAGAAGACAGAGGTGGCTGGAGCTCCGAGGAGACTCTGGACTCCCTTGGGGACCACCAGCCCAGCCAGCAGCCGTTCTCTGTCATACTGGGCAGAAGGCCCTGTGTGGTGGGCTCAGGCACAGGGAATCTTTGCTCTGTGGTATGTCAAACCCAGGTCTGGGGAATAGATTGCCTGAATGCCACAACCCTTCACTCTCAGTTCGTATTTCTGGCTGGAATTCCCCCTCTCCTCCCTCCCATTATGGCCATAACCCTGAATGTGGGGCCCCTGAGTCCAGCCTGGCTTTCCCAAGGGCCCATAACCTGCCCCTTTGGGAGACTGTGAGCCCCAGGAGTTTAGAGTTGGGGGGGGGAGAAGGGGATAAGAGAGCTGAAGGGCCAGGCCAGGGCCACGCACCAGCATCTGAGAGTGAGGAGAAAATTAAGTGAATATACACACCCCGTCAGCCACAGTCTGCCTCAGATTAAGCCCTGCTCTTAAGACTTGGCTTTCCACAAACAAGAAACCTAGCGGAGTGGAAATCGGATCCAAGCATTAGCTCCAGTGCTCTGCTCTGCTCTGCCCTTGGGTTCCCCGGGGCAGCACCAGGCCCCTCAGCCAGCTCGGGGCATCCTGTGTCCACATGGGGATGACAGGTCAAGGCCCGATTTTAGAGATATAGATCCTGGTAGGTTTGCATGTTCTACACATAAAATACTGAGCAGCCTTTTTCAGAGCATTTACTATGGGCCCTGCAGTGCGTGAGCATTTTCCCTGCATTAGCTCATTCATCTGACCTAGATCCGGGGTTTCAGTCCCTTCATGAGACGATGGTGCAGCCAAGACTGCCTCTATCCTTGGTTCACCCAGTGCCAGCCCCTGCCCCCATCCGCCTCACCTCCCTGTGAGAAGAGCCCAGGCTGAGGCTGGGCAGGGATGGGTACCAGGATACGGCCCTTGTGTGATCAAAAGGAAAGAAGAGAGCCCTACAACCTGGCAAAACCATCGGCAGCATGGGACACAGTTCTCAGGGATGGGTTTACAAAGGGTTGCAAAGCACACAAAAAGATGCTCAACCTCCCTTGTCATGAAAGAAGCACAAATAAAACTAATGAAATACCATTTCTCATCCATCAGATTTGTTTTGTAAAAATCTCTAAAGCCTGGCAGCCTCCTATTGGCAGGGCTTTGACGGAAGCTCGACCCCTACAGAGGGCAACTGGCTACTATCAACATCACAAATGCAAACACCCTTCGACCTACCAGTTCTACTGCTAGACATTCATCCTACAGAAACACCCGCACATGTGCAGAATGGCATCCGGATGAGGTTATTTACGGCACTGTGGCTTCTGCTGGCGAGGATGTGGAATAACTCAGGTTAAAGGACCGGCTGAATAAATGATGGTCCATCCCCACGATGGAGTACTGTGCCGCTCTAAAAAGAATGAGGGCTGCTCGGTGTTACAAAACAGCCTCCAAGTTATCTTATTAATTGAAAAGCTAAGTACTGAGGATGTCACATGTAACACGTAGACTATAGGTAACACTGCTGAAAGGTACATTTGAAAGCTGTTAGGTGAGTAGATCCTAAGGATTCTCATCACAAGGAAAAAAGCATTGTTTTCTTTGGCGGGTCTCTATATGAGATGATGGATGTCAACTAAACTTATTATCATAATCATTTCACAATATAAGCCACGCCATTATGCTGTGTGCCTCAAACTTATACAGTTCTGTGGTTATATCTCAATAAAACTGGGGGGGATTAAAAAGCAAGGGGCAGGACAGTATAATGTGCAAACGTTTGTATAAAAAGGGTAAAAGCTAAGAATTATAGCCAGATGTGCTTGCATTTGCAGAATAAAGCCAGAATGATTGCAGGAAGCTAACTGCAGTGCTTTCATCTGCATGGGAGGGAAGAAATGCCAGACTGTAGGGGCAGGGCCGAGCAAGAAGGAGAGCTTTCATGATGGATGGTAGAGACAAATGATGATAGATAGATAGATAGATATAGGATAGATAGATAATAAAGACAGACAGATGACAGGTGGATAGATTGATAGATTAGAGAGAGAGAGAGAGAGAGAGAGAGAGAGATAGATATAGGATAGATAGATAATAAAGACAGACAGATGACAGGTGGCTAGATATATAGATAGATTATAGATAGATGTAATAAATGTACTACCTAATTCAAAAATTAGATGAACAAAATTTTAAAAGGAAAAGAAAGGACTCTCTAACCAGCCACAGCTGAGAGACGTGCCAGCATGGTGCCTCAGCTCCCTGGAGCAAGAGGCCCAGGTTTGTCCCTACCCTCCCAGGAGCGATGCAGGAAGTGGCAGACCTCCGCCACATCAAGGGAAGCGCTTCCACCTGGCTGCCCTTGCCGCCACTGAGAAAGCCAATGGGATAACAGCTGGCCCCATGGCCGCATCCAGGCCAGCACTGCCTCTGGTCCTAAAGTCCCCAACATCCTTCCCGCACCCTCTCCACTCCCCACACACTCAGCCCAGGCAGCACAAAGCTTCTCCTCCTCCTTCACTCCTCTAAGCCTTAAAAAAAAAAAAAGGACTGATCCAGAGACGGAGAGGCATTGATTGAACTGTTGGGCCTTGGAGGGAAGGTAGGGGAGGGTGGGGGTAAGAGGGAGAGATCAACCAAAGGACTTATATGCAAGCATATAGGTCTAACCAATGGACACGGACAACAGGGGGGTGAGGGCATGAGCGGGGGGGTAGGGGATAACGTGGGGATAAGGACACATATGTAATATCTTAATCAATAAAAAATATATTTAAAAAAATAATAATAAATAAATAAAATAAAATAAAAACAACCTCTTTTACCGGATGATGGAGTATAATTAGTACAAACTTTCCGGAGGGCTACTTGGCCACCTTTATCAAATACTTAAAAATAAGCATGCCTTCTGACCTGGTCTAGAAACCTCCCTATGGAAGAGCAATCAGAATGTGGACAAAGATTCCAGTACACGGATTTGTCACAGCATTGCTCATAAAAAAGGAAAACTACAGCAACAAAAATTATCCAAAAATAGGTTACTATTGTTACATTCACTTAATGGAACAGTATGCAGTCATTAAGAAATTGTTTCCAAAGGCTATTTAGTAACCTAAGGAAATGCGAGATGAGAAAAGCAGTGTCCCAGACTGCACAGGTACCGCTGACTCTCCCTATGGGTGGTAGTTGCGCGTTCTTTAGTTCACCAAGAACACAGAATCAGCGAGTGTTGACCCACTGCTCCAGGGGGAAATACAGGGTTTGGCTCCTGCCAGCCTCTGTCACAACATTTTTGTCAAACAACCAATTCATAATTTTGTGTTACACATTTCTGTTTAAGACACCTTATTTAATAAATCTTGTTGATTCATTAACGTTGAATTCATGGTCAACAGCACGATCCCTCCTGCTGGCATGAAGCATTTCTAACACAGATTTTCTCCATGAGGCATGTCACAGCCTTCCTGCACTTAGAAAAGCAATTCCGCACTCGCCTGGGACTGTTTTAAACAGTGAAATCGCCAGTAACATGCGGAAAACGTGACACCAAGGAGACCAAGAAAGGGACACTTTTTACAGGCTGAGAGCTAAGCGTCCCGTTGCTCCAACTCGGCTGGCAACGTGCAAGCCAGCCAGCTCCCAGTCCTCGCCAACGATCGCGCAAGCACCGTGAGTACTGGCTTTGCAGTTCCAAATACATTTTAGGAAGAAGGTGAACTTGCAAATACAGAATCTGCAAATAATGAAAATCAGCTGTAACTGGATCTAATTTTTTTCCGGGGATGGAGTGGGGGTGAAGCCAACAGGAGGAGTGAGAACTGCAGAGAGGAAAACATGGCACAAATGTTAACAATAGTTGTCTCCAGGGTACCGTGGGTACAGAAATACGGTTATTCTTTTGTTGGTTTTCCTTGGGTTTCTCTGATTATTTTCACTTTTTTTTTTTTACAATTAATAAGTATTATTCTTGCATTTAGAAAAAAAAAAGGTTGTTTTAAAGTTTCCTGCTCTGCCCTCCAAGTATCTACACACACACACACACACACACACACACATATCTCTATCTCTATCTCTATCTCTATCTCTATCTTTATCTCTATCTCTAACTCTATCTCTATCTCTATATCTCTCTCATACTCCCCTAGTAAGTAGCTCAGCCAAATCAGGTAAACTTCACATCTTAGATAATAGTGCCATCAAGTGTCTATAAGAGGAAATGCAAAGAGTACCTGGCTGAGGTGGGTGGGTACACAGAGAGGACAAAACCCCAGGTCTGCTCAGTTAGGCTGTAATCAATGAAAAAAAGTGACACACAAGCTGACTGAGACAGAGAGGCAGGCAGAATGAGACAGGCAGTGAAGGGAGCAGAGAGTGTGGGGGAGGCCACGACGAGGTGGGGAGAGAGGGGCACAGAGGCCTGGGGACCCCCAGGCTAAAGCTTTCAAGAGGGAAGGTCTCAACTGGCTCCTCCATGATAAGCCCCTTCCTTCTAGAGCAGCGGTTCTCAACCTGTGGGTCGCGACCCCTTTGGCGGTCGAACCACCCTTTCACAGGGGTCGCCTAAGACCATCCTGCACATCAGATATTTACATTACGATTCATAACAGTAGCAACATTACAGTTATGAAGTAGCAACGAAAATAATGTTATGGTTGGGGTCACAACATGAGGAACTGTATTTAAAGGGCCAGAAGGTTGAGAACCGCTGTTCTAGAGGGAGAGTGGAGGGTGCAGCTTCTCACACCAGCCCAGGCACCAATCGGCTTTTCCTACACCAGGTTCCCTACCTCCATCACCACCCTCAGACATTTGCACCTGCCTAGAAAAAGAGCCCAGGGCCAGCCAAGGGCATCCCAGGACAGGAGAAGACCTAGGGGGACAGAGGGACTGACAGGGACCCAGGAGCAGCCAGGAGCCAAAGACAGGTTGGTCTTGGCTATAACCATCATCAGAGCATCCTACCATCCCTGGGAACGTGGAATAAAACCATCTCAGAACTTTCTGATCCATCTAACTGGAAAAATTTGTCCCAGTCCTTAGATAAAGTGTCCAGCAAGACTGTCCAACAAGCCTTCCTGCTTCCTTCCTGCCTTCTTGTCCCAGTGCCCCTGAAGGCCGGAAGAGGGCATCAGACCCTGACCCCAAGCCCAAACCAAACTGCATTTGGGTAAGGACCCACAGTGAGCTGTGGGGCAGAGAGAAGGGATGGGCCTCAAGACATGTTTGAAGTCCGGGCCAGGGGAGGCATATTTGGTGTAGCAAGGGCTTAAACGGGGGAAGAACTGATGCAGGCCCACGTGTTCTGCCTTCGATGGCGGTACCCGGGGAGGATGGAGGCTCCCACACGTGGGCAGGATGAGGCAGAAGATGACTCTTTGAAAGGGCCCAAGAGGCAATAGGTAGAAATGTGCAGAAAGGGCCCTGGAGGCCTAGGGGTGAAGGGAGGGTCAGGGTTAAACAAGTGGGAGTCCTCCTGTGGAGAAGGACCATCTGAAGGCTGGGCATGGCCAAGGAGAGCCTGTAGGCTGGGCAGACAGATGCTGGGGACTCCATCCTAGGTGAGGCGGGATGGAGCAGAAATCAACAGGGACTAGAGCAACAAGCCTGCCTCTGGGCAGGAAGGTGGGCTGCAAGGAAGAGAGGAACGTCAGCGTGATCCCAAGGGCCCCCACCAACGTGGCCTTCCTCTGCCCAACTCCCACCACAAATTTTTAAAAATAACCATTATGTCTTTATTACATAGTTTTTAGTTTCCCTATCTTTACGCCTTCACATCTAGTTTTTATGCAATTGCTTCATTTCTCTCCAAATAGTCTCGTATCCACCCACTATCCATCTGCCTGCTCCGTGTCCATCCACAAACATGTGTCAATCTCAGAGGCCCAAGTGCACCCATCCACATGCGTGCTGCTGCCCGGAGAGCTGGGCCTAGGCCAGTGTCTCCCCTGGAGTCCCACGCTCACCTCACCTGTGCGAACTCGCCTCTGGTGGGCGTGGCCAAGGGCAGCACGATCAGCCTCACCTGTGCGCACGCGCCTCTGGTGAGCGTGCCCAAGGGCAGCACGCCTGCACCTCACTCTGCCCCATGCTCTGCCCTCCCTGAGCATCCTCCCGCTTCTTTGCTCCTTACCATTTTCCCTGCGAAGCTGACCTCCATGAAGGGATCCACCAAGTTCTTCTTGTTGCTGTCAAAGCCGAAGAGCTGCTTCACGTTGTCCATCACGGCATCGTCCACTAGAGAGAAGGACATGCTGGTCACTGCCCACCTGCTGCCCCGCCTCCAAAACCCCGGCCTTCTGCCTGCCAGTCTCCAGGTGCTCTTGGCAAAGAGAGAGACGCTGAGGCGCCCGCTCAGCCCAGGGACTTCAGGAGTGAGGGCGCCCAGGAGGGAGGATCCCCTGAAATATTTCCTCACCCAGCACCCCCACAGCTTGTTCGCTAACACCACCACCCCACCCCTCAGCATCTTTCAGAACAGCGTCTTTCCACCAATTGATGGGTTAGAAATCTACATCAGTGAGGGCAGTAAACCCAGAAAAGGACTGGAAGTTGTTATAATAATATCCCATTATTGGCATCCTTTTGACATTTTTCTTTACATCCATTAGCTCCGTGATTTACCTAAGGTTAACCAACAAGTCAATTCTGGGTTTTTTATGAAATTTTAACCTATGTTGCTCCAAATCAATATTTTACTAAATTAGCCATGTTTATATATGTATGTACAGAGAGAGAGATGTATATTTGTGAATGTATGCATATGAATGTGTTATCTATAATGTATATGAATTAGAGAGGAAATTGACAGTTAAAGATTATAGTCTTGCTAATGTCTACATGACTACAACAGATAACAATTAACATTTATATTCTATATACCCACCTATTTTGTTTTATTTATATTTAAACAACATTGCAGAGAATTAAACATAGAGCACCTTCACCTTCAGCAAAGCAAACATTTCCATTTCCCCAGCCCCCTTAGGAATCTCACCAGCTTCACTCTGCATCGTTTAACCAGTAAGTGCAGAATGTTTTTAAGCACATATCTTGTTACTGTTGTTAATCCTCACTGGGGGATATTTCTTCCATTGATTTTAGGGAGAGTGGAAGGGAGTGGGGAGGAGAAAGAGACACATCGATGTGAGAGAGCTACCCACACTCCCCCAACCGGGCCGGGGAACCTACAACCCAGGTACGTGCCCTGGACCAGAATCGAATCCAAGACCCTTCCGTTTGCAGGCTGATGCTCTAACCACTTAGCACATCAGCCAGGGCTAAGCATGTATTTTAATGACCATTTAATACCCATTATATATTTAAAGGCTTTCCCCATGATTTTGGTTCAAATAAACCTGTACAGAAGGAACCCATTTCATTTATTGCTGTCATTAGTCAAAGCAGAAACCCTCAATTAGCTTTACGCAAAACTTGTAAACAGAGACCCAAGTAGCAAATGTTCTCACTGACTTATGAACCACAACTGGCTCATATGCCACCAACGCACACTGGAAGCAGCGGCTCACAGCCCACAGAACAGCTGAACCACTTCGGGAGCCTTTAACAATGACCAATGAGGCCCTGGCCGGTGGTTCAGTGGTTAGAGCATCACCCCCGCACATCGACGTTGTCACAGGTTAAATTCCCGGTCAAGGGCAGGGAGCTGGGTGCAGATTTAATCCCCCACCCCCGGGGCACATGTGGGAGGCAACCAATCAATGTGTGTCTCTCACATTCATGTTTCTCTTTCTCTCTCCCTCCCTCCCCTACCCTCCCTTCCACTCCCTCTAAAGTCAATGGAAAAATATCCTCAGGTGAGAACTAACAAAAATAAATAAAATAAAAATAAAAACGACCAATGTTTGAACCTTACCCCAAACCAAGTCAATCTGAACCACCAAAGGTGTGGCCCAGGCATCCCTACGTTAAAGCTCCCCCGGTGATCCTAGCACCCACAGCTCTAGAATATTCAGGATAGGTACAGTAAGTCCTCACTTGAGGTCATCAATAGGTTCTGTGACTTTAAGGGAACCAATATACATGCAACCAATTTTATCATAAACTAATTGATATAAACAAGAGTTAAGTTCGTATGGCATCGCATCAACATTATAACAAAAGATGCTGAACAAAATGACGTTCGAGGACCTGCTGTAATTCCCCCGCCATCTACTGAGCACACGGATGGGGCCGATACAGGGCTAGCCACGGTGAGAAGCCAGGCAGTGGCCACAGTGGCCTTCCTGGGAGGAGGAGGGCCCGGCCACACCAAGGTGACCCACTGCTCCAGTGCCGGAGACCGAGTGGCTGCCCGGGACATGGGACTTTCAGGGTTAACCCAGGACAGTCAGAGGCAAACTGGGTGCTCATCCTTCACCTGCAGAGACACTGAGCTCGCCCAACACGTCAGTGTCTGCCTCCCCAGACCAGGGTCTGCCAACTTGCAGGCTGGGCTTCCTCAAAGAGGAAAGAAAATCAGTGAGATCCAGCCCTGAGCACAGAACAGAGTCCGATGGTGCTGACTCCCTGGTGAGAACCAGGAAATGGGTCCCCAGAGGCCACACAGCCAGACCAGGCCGAGGGGATGCGGAAATGGAGCCCAGGGCAGCTATTCGTCTCAAGATGTCTGGCATCTCTGTGACTCCACCAGCACTTATATGTCTTTTCATTCATTATGACTGCTTCTCTGTTAAGAACAATAAACACCCTGGGGAAACCCAGAGAGGGGTTGGGGCTTCCCCGGAGGACAGCGCAGAGGGCCGGGCACTGATCTAGCAGATTCCAGGAGTGAGGACGCCAGGCCCACGGGAGGCAGGGCAAGAGCGGAGGGGCAGCCCCTCCATCCATTCCCCCCGGGAGCTGATGCGTTCCAGCGGGTCCCCACCGGCCCAGGCCTCCGGTCCCAGGGAAGGCCCACACTCACTCTGCGGTAAGTCCTCGGCCCTGAAGATCTTCAGGCAGAAGTGCGCCCCTCGGAGGGCCACGCCGGTCGGCCGGAGCAGGTTGCCTTCGATGTCCTCCTTGTCTTCCGAGGGGTCCTTTCTCTCGAGCTACAACGCAAACCAAATGTGATTCCTGACTCAACGACGTTTTTCCCTTCCTCAACCAACACCAGCGAAAGGGTGTGTTCTGAAGAGAGGCAGGCCGCACCGGCCGCTCACCAGCGTGGACCCCAGGCAGGTTCCTCACCTGGGACCCGCTTCCTCCTCGGGGCAGTGGAGACAATAACAAGAAAAGAGACCAGGAAGAGAAGGTGGGACCAGTTGGCAGAGGACACGGCACAGGGCCCAGCAGGGGGGAGAGCGGGGGATGGCAGGAGACGAGTGGAGATGGAAGGGAGCGGGAGCGGAGGGAGGGTCGGTCAGCAGCCAGGGCTCTCACACTGTGCCTCTCTGACTCCCCGAGGGAGGCTGAGGGTGGAGCTCAGGAGAGAGACACATTTAGAAACAGCCGCTGTGGGGAATGAGATAAGGAATAAACTGCACCCGTGGCAGCACCCGTGGCAACCAGCACCTCCGGGTGACTTCTGCCACCCAAACTGACCACAGAGTGGAGTGGACAGTGTGTGGTAGGGACAGTGGGGGACAGGAGGTATGTGGGAGACCCAGGGGTTAGTAAGCACGCAGTGAGAATTAGGGTCATGGGGAGAGGGGAGAGTGTGGCAAGGGGGAGCTGAGGGACTGGGAAACTGAGAGGGATGGGGGGCTGTCACCCCATCGAGGAAGAGCTGTCACCCAGCAGGTGAGGGAGGGAGAGAGGTGGAAAGAGACTGGTGGGGAGAGGGACCCCCGAGCTCCGATCTTAGAAGAAGATCAGATGTTGATGGCTCGTCCGTGAGGACACGTCACACTTCGTGGCAAAGACAGGAATCCACACACAAGGACCCTCCGGGGCCAGCTCTGCAGGGCAGGTCACAGCCCAGAGGACCCACAGAGGGGGAAGAAGCCAGGGAAGCAGCCGCTGCGGGAGGAGGCAGCGCTGGGGCTGGGAAAGGCTGCTGGCGACCACAGGGCACTGCGGTGAGGACCAGAGGCAGCTGCTCTCCGATCCCAGAGGCCTGGGGAGAGCCGGAGCCGAACGCAGGGGCCTCCTTCTGAGCTGGTTCTAAGAGGAGTGACTTCCTCAGGGGGAAACAAGGCTCCAGGTACTAGGAAGAGGAGGAAGCGTTGTTTTACAAGAGGATAACAGATTCGGAGATGCCCCAGAGAAGGAGCGAGAAGCACAATGGCGGAGAGCCGGGCGACAGAGGGACAGGGCTGGAGTGCACGGGGTGAGAGCAGGGACGGGTGCCCGGGGGTGGGGCTGTCTACCTGAGCTCCATCGGCCCTGGGCACAACACCCTGCGTTCTCCCTCCCCTAAACTTTCCACTGTGGGTGCTTGAGTTCTTGTCACCAGCCAGCTCCTCCTCCTTGACATCCTCATGGGACTTGCCCTCGGCCTTCCCTGGGAAACCCCACCTCCCACCACCCCTCCCCTGCGGATCGCTTCCCTCCTCCTGACTCTCCCACTCCTACTGGCCAGCTCAGCTGCAAAGAGAGGGCCACGCCTGGCAGCTGCCCCCCTCCCCCCTCCATCTCTCCCTCCCGGAAGTCCGCACCACCCACATGCACCTCTCCCCCACGGCTCTCACTGCTGTCACAGCCAAGCCCAGGCCCTGTGCTCGCCTTGCCTGGATGACCGCAGCGCCTGCCTCACCGTCTGCCTATCTGAGTTCCAATTCTCCCATCAGGGAATCCACATGTGGACAAGCCATTCGCCAGCACAGCTCCTTGTCCTCCACCAACAGCGTCTTCATCTCCTGTCCCCTTCAGCTGCTAGAGGCATGGCCCCATCTCCAACTTCCAACCACACAGAACCACTGCTCCAGCAAAACCTTGACCACTGACACCCCTCTCAGAAGACAGCTTGCAAGCTATCCACCTCCTCCAACCCCTCACAGAGCACACAGTGGGGCACACAGCAGGTGCTCAATAAGTGTGCATTTCGTATTCTCTGTCCTCTGCATCAGCTCTAGGCCCCGTCCTCCTGCATCCTCCCTGCCCCGATGCCCTGGCCACCTCGGCCCTGTGCCTCCACCAGGCCTGCCTAAGCCACGCCTGCCACCTCCACCATCCACCTCCCAGTCTGCTTCTGGGCCACTGAGCATCATGAGGCTGTGCCACAAAGTCCCCAACCCAGAGTGGGTCCAGAAACCCTCCGTTTCTTAATGAACCTCTCCCACAATTACTACTCCAAACGTTTTCTCCTCTCTCCAGACACACAATGATGCTGCTATCTCCCCAACTCTACACCCTTTCTCCTTCTACCACCTCCAACGTATAACTGTTCTCACATCTGCAAAGAAGAAAAATATGCAAAAGACAGATGATTGCCAGAGACGGGGAGGAGGGAAGAGTGGAGGGAATGGGAAGATGGTCAAGAGGTACAAACGTCCAGCGGTAAGTCACGGGGACATAAGATGCAGCATGGCGACTATAGTTAATGTAAGATTGCATATCGGGAAGTTGCTAATAGACTAGATCTTAAAAGTTATCACCACAAGAAAAAAGATTTTTTTTTGTAACTATGTGAGGTGACAGATGTAACTAGACTTTTTGTGGTGATCATTTCACAATATACACAAATATCGAATCAGTATAACATATAACATGAAACTAATATGTTACATGTCAATTAGACCTCAATCAAAAAGTATTAAGAGAAGAAAATACGAATGTATATCCTTCTGAGAGGATATGCAAAGAGAGATTAATAACAGTTCTCGCTGAGTGGTAGAATT